CCACCTTAGGTGTATGTGGCTGGCGCCTTAGCCACTTGAGCCACAGGCGCCGAGCCACTTGTTAGAATTTCTATACTGAAAGCAAATACAAACAATCAGCTGGTAGCTCAGTGGTTACACCGGCCCCAGGCCTGTTAAACAAAACAAACACAAAAAATTTAAAAAAGCAAAACAAACAAACAAAAACAAAACAAACAAACAAAAAACAACACAACTTGTAAAGAAACTGTTTTTGAAACCTGAAAGGTCTCCTGTGGATAGTCTCTTCTTGGCAGGTTTACAAATCAACTTCCTCAACATAAGAATAAGAGTACAAAAAGACTGTTAGTGGAGGAGTTAACCCAAGAAAGCTCCCTGAAGTGGTGGGTTTCATCCTGGTACTATCTGGCTGTAGATCTATACAGTTTAGTGGATGCTGTTTAATGGCTTGTGAAGCACAGCCGGGTGAAGAGAACGAATGAGCATAAGGAACAAAACATAAAATTAGGTGAGTACACTCCGTGTTACGCCCTTTCTCTGCATTTACTCGTGCATTGCTCACAAGATCTTGTGAAACTGATACTAATTTATACATCTTAAAAGAAACTATGGCTCGGATTTGACGAAAGTGTCAAAAGGTTCTAATGAAAGTGCCAGCACGTATCTAACATGAGTTTGGAATTTGCCGGATACCCTGCCACGAGCGAGAAGCAGGGGCACTGTAGGCCGGCACCGCCTCTGAACACAGAGGAAACGCAGACCAGTCCCAGCGGACAGGTGTCCGGCCTCCCGCCTGCGGGGCGCGCACTTCCCAACCGCTTCCGGGCCTGCTTCCCGGCATCCTCCCCGCGCGACGCTCACTTCCGGTCCCAAATCGGCCCAGTAGAAGCATCAGCTGGCTGGCACTCTACTCCTCGGTCACGCTCTCTGCCGGGATCCCCAGCTCTACCACCCTGCCCCACCACCGCACGGTCCTTTCTCAGCACGATCCCCTTACCTGCCCTGCGCCCCCCCGCGAGCCCCAGGGCCCCTGGCAGATGACCGCCCTCACCTCTTCTCTCTTCGCCTGGTGCGGCCTTTTACAAATACGGCCAAACTGTTCGCTGTAACGACAGTCGTTATTGGCCAGAGCCGCCCACGCGCGATAAGTGCCCGCCTATTTGTGCTCGCGTTGTCGGATGGGAGTTGTGGTTTCCTCCTGGACACCGCTGCGCATCGAGGGGGCGGCGGGGGCAGAACTTGTGATGATGACCTGTTCTTTGGGGCTAGCGTGCTCGGGCTGAACCTGCTGAGACGGAAGGCACCCGCACAGCTCCAAGGCTGATCATGACTACTTCATGCCGGAGAGAATTCTGTTTCTCTGTAGAGTCCGATTGGTAATTGATACAAAAATTACTTGAGATTGTCTACATTATTAGCAGATACTGGCAGCGAATTTATCGTTTATTTGGAAGTCTTGCCCACCAAACATTTTCCTGTTACTTTCTATCACGTGTGTTTATAACGAGAAACTGAGCTTTGACATAATACTTGAACATCTTCCTTCATATGTTGAGCTGGAATTGGCTGCTTCTTTTTTTTTTTTTTTTAGAGACAGAGTCTCACTTTATCACCCTCGGTCGAGTGCTATGGCGTCACAGCTCACAGCAATCTCCAGCTCTTGGGCTTAAGCGATTCTCTTGCCTCAGCTTCCCGAGTAGCTGGGACTACAGGCGCCCGCCCGAACGCCTGGCTATTTTTTGTTGTTGTTGTTGTTGCAGTTGGGTTAAGCTGGGTTCAAACCCGCCACCCTCGGTATATGGATCCGGCGCCCCTAGAATTGGCTTCTTGTATATCTAGTTCTAGTTCTAGTCCTTGGAATCATACAGTATAAATCTAGATTTTCTTTGTTCATGAAGGTAGCTCCAATGCAGTGTACAGACATTCCCTAGGTTACCAACAAGATAGGTTTCCAAAGATCTGTTCTTTTTTTTTTGGCCGGCGGCTGGGTTTGAACCCGCCACCTCCGGCATATGGGGCCAGCGCCCTAACCTTGTGAGCCACAGGGGCTGCCCGTAAAAGTTTGTTCTTAAGTTGAATCTGTACGTAAGTTGGAATAGGTACAGATAATTTACCTATTACCTGTAATAAACTCCGTTCATAAGTGCAAGTAGAACATAAGTCAGATGTTTGTAACCCGGGCACTGGTTATATTTCAGTGTGAGGCATGTATGTTGAAAGCCTCTGGAATGAGATTTTCTGCACCTCTGGCCCTAGTTCAGCTATTTAGGAGTAATGGCACTGTGAGCAGATTGCTTTCCCGTTGAAAAACCTTAGTCTTCAATGGTCCTTTCAAGGACTACAGTTTGTAGTATTGTTTATTAAATTGTTTATTAAAGTAAAAGGGCTTGGCGCCTGTGGCTCAAGCAGCTAGGGTGCCAGCCACATACACCTGAGCTAGCGGGTTCGAATCCAGCCTTGGGCAGGCCAAACAACAATGCCGGCTACAACCAAAAAATACCCGGGCGTTGTGGCGGGCGCCTGTAATTCCACTATTAGGGAGGCGGAGGCAGGAGAGTCGTTTGAGCCCAGGAGTTGGAGGTTGCTGTGAGCTGTGATGCCATAGCACTACCCGGGGTGACAGCTTGAGGCTCTGTCTCAAAGAAAAAGAAAGAAAGAAAATGACCGTTTTTTTCAGAAGATGTTTTAGTTTTCTTTTCTTTTCTTTTCTTTTCTGAGACAGAGCCTCAAGCTGTCGCCCTGGGTAGAGTGCCATAGCATCACAGCTCACAGCAACCCCCAACTCCTGGGCTCAAGTGATTCTCCTGCCTCCTCCTCCCAAGTCGCTGGGACTACAGGCGCCCACCACACCACCTGGCCATTTTTTTTGGTTGCAGCTGTCATTGTTGTTTGCCAGGCCTGGGCTGGATTTGAACCCGCCAGCTCAGGTGTATGTGACTGGCGCCTTAGCCGCTTGAGCCACAGGTGCCAAGCCTAGTTTTCTTTTCTTTTTCTTCTTTTTCTTTCTTTCTTTCTTTCTTTTTTT